AACTCATCAACAAATTCTGGAACATAAGCATACTTACCGTTGGCGTCCAACAGTCGTCATATTTCTTGACCTAAAGGCGGCATTCAATCCACTCGACCGAGAGGTACCATGGTGGTGTTTTACTGTGAAGGGAATGCCGCATTGTTCAAGGCACTTTACTCAAACTCATGCAGCCAGGTTTGAGTCTATGTAGAGTTGTCATGTGAAGTGGTGACAATGCCCACTGTCCCCATTTCTGTTTAATTTTATTACTGATATCGCAACAATGGACTTAATCCTAACTGCTGACTTCATCGACTCAGTGACTAACTTGATGCCACCGTAAAATTATATCGCTGACCTAGAATATGAGGATAATGTAGACCTGCTCCTCAGTGAAGACGCCGACAAAGTGTAATTTTTTGAACACCTTGAGCTAAGCCGCGATCTGCGAGTGTTTGGCATGATATTCGCTCAAGCCAAATATAAGATGATGCTCCAGGACTGGACTGCACTACATCAAGTCCTAGCTTAAAAAAAGGCAGCAGTGAATTGTTTCGCAGAGAGTTTTGACCATTTCACTTATTTGGGAAGTTGCATCAGGCCACTCAACGACGGAAGGCTCGTCTGGCATTTTTCAGTCAGCTTACGCCATCTCTATTAATATATGTGTAAAACTTGGGCACTATGGTAGTAAGCAATCCCATATCTAATAAACAAACTAATATGGAATTACGCCATCTCTCTCTGGCTTAGTAGAAGTGATATCCGGCTGACTGGCTATCGACCAAAGGACGTGCTCACTACTCAGCAGTCCACTGCGTCCTTCTTTATGGCTGGCTGTGAGACATGGCCGTTGAAAGTGGAAGTCATCAAACGGTTGGATAGCTGTATTCCATCATACGTGTCTGCATTCTCCTCTCCTTGTTAAGTAGCATAATAAGGCGAGCAATATTGAAGTAAGGTGTCGGTCGAGTGCTATGTAAGGAGAAGGGGAAATCAATCTATTGACGCGGTTGTGAAGCAGTTACATCGACTGAGATGGTTAGAAGATGTGTTACGCATTCATTCCTAGCCATCGCCTTCCTCGATGACGGGCAATGTTACCTGATTGACACAGGATGCATCAGGTTGCGAAAGAGCTTCCCAATGGTGGTCAAATAAAAACATAACTTCATCACTCAATGAGATCCACAACAGTTAGTTCGATTCAGCCAACCAGTCGCGTAGAAAAGTGTAGGCTTCCTTACTGGTTGTGCTCCTCGGGACGCCAAAAACCAATGGCCGTAGACAACCGGCAATGATATTGATGGCTCAAAGTGATCGCTCTCAGTGATAACTGGCTGGCTCAGATGCATCTACACCTTGTGACTTATAATATTCAATAAGACCATATTGTTACTCGATATTACCATTCCTTTTGCCTCATATCTCTGTTTATTATCTCTTTCTGCTTTGAATCTCTTTTCACTCTCTTCTCTTGTGCTTTGTGTGCTACGTGGAGGGAGTGTAGCAACTAGAACTGGTGCACATCTGTGCAAAGTTATACACTGAAAACAGCCAGTCAGTCAGCTTCAAGAAAGGGGAAGAGAACAGCAAATTAACCAATAAAATATTACCTCAAATAAAACATATTTCCGCAACTTAACGTTGTGCGCCTGTTAACCTCAGTATTTCACACATTTGTGAAAAAAGCTGAAACATAACACACATCTCAAGATAAAGTAATCCGAATTGCCTAATTGGCTATTCACTGAAGAATGTAGAGTTCACTACTTCCAGTCTATCACAAACGATTCGGAACTGCAGCTCAGATCGGAACGTAAAAAACCTATTAAATGAATATACAACAATTTGAAGTTCACCTATTATAAACTGTGAATATACATATAATTCACTGAAGAGGCAGCGAAGATAAAACTCCAACCAGGTGAACATAGAAAAGACGGTTATGAAGATAACCAACCAACAACATCAACGACCAGCACCAATCATCATCAACGGGAGAGATTTACCACAGGTTACTTCCTTCACTCATCTGGCTAGACAGCATCGTTTCAACTACACGCAGTAGGAACGGGTGAAGATATCAAAGTAAGAATTGTAACGCTAAGCAAGATACGCACAACTTCATCAAACTGAAATCTGTTTGGAAATCCTCTACACTTAGTATAAGGAACAAAGTTCTCATTTTCAACACCACTCTCAAATCGGTCAGTTTTTCTAAACGGGCCAGAAACTTGAAATGCGTGTGTGTCACGAAAAGGATTTCCAACAGGTTGCAGACTTTCATGAACAGCTGCCACACTCGCCTACTGAAAATTAAATGACCGGCAGACCAGAAAGAATTAATAACAAGAAACTCTGCAGTGGAACAAACCAACCAAGCAATAACCGATTAATTGCTCAAAAAACATGCGGGAGAAAATGGAGATGGATTGGGCATACGTTGAGGATGACATAGCCGCCAGGGGGATATCCAAATGAGAAGCGACGGATGGGTGGGTCGTCAGTGCTTGGGTGATATGGAGGAGGAGGAGGAGGTGGGAGATCATGGGCAGTCGTGAAACTAGCCAACTGAAGAGGACAACACCAAAAAGAACAAAGTGGAGATGTGATGTTGTTAAAGTTAGCCCAAGAGAACAATAATAATAATAATAATAATACATATACATCTGAGTGATCAACTTAGCGAGAAAATATGTAAATTCCCAAAAAATGTGATCGATCAACACACATGAGAATTCAAGAAAAATTCAACCGTTAATACAACAACACAACACAACCCATGTGAGATCAAGCCTAAATAAAATGAATGAGAAGAATATTGTATATTGATTCATTAACATAAAATACCGTTAAAAAATACCACATGATGAATGAACGATAGTCGTGTGATTTAGAGTGAGTAGGTAGAGAGAAAGTAAAGTAGTTAATTAACTACTCACACACAGGTATAGGATAGGTATAGATTTCTGCAACTTTTTTTTACTTTTAAATTCCTACATTTTTGTACATGTATATATATATATATATATATATATATATATATATATATAGCATGAAAATTTCTTCAGGAATTCAAGACAATGTGAGCGTGTTGATGACATTTATTATTGCAGTTGTTACTATTATTATTATAAGGCATTAACAATGTTTGATTGGCATGATATTGTTTGAATTTTTTTTAGAAAAAATAAAAGAACAAATAAGAATTAATCCTACTGTGCGCCATCAACATGTCAATACTGTTCATCAAATTGTTTAGAATTGGATACACAATGGATGGGGGCGGGGATGCAATCAGCTGCATGCGAATCGCTCCTCCCGCTGTTAAATGTAAGATGATGAGGCTATACGACTCTGAACTGGACTAGACTAGACCGACTACTCCTAGCTTAGAGATAGGCAGGAGTAAAGTGGTACTGACCAATTCACTTATCTGGGAAGCGGTTGCATCAGCCCAGCTAACAACAGCGGGGATGATCTGATCGATGACGAAATCTCAGCACACATACGGAAGGATCGTTTCGCGGCCGGCCAACCAGCCAGTTACTTAGGGGAATGTAGACTGCCGGTTGTGGTGCTTATAATGGTGAAAACCAATGAAGACTGGAGAAAATTGATGATAATATGACTGGCTCAAAGTGATCGTTCTCGGTGATGGATGGCTGACGAAGATGCATCCGCTCCTTGTGACTTATAATATCCAATAAAACTACATGGATCTTCGATGTTACTATTGTTTTAGCCTCATATCTCTGTTTACTGTCTCTGTTTCGCATTTCTTATTACTTTCTTCTCTTGCTTTGTGTGATACATGGAAGGCGTGTGGCGACTCGAAGTGCTGCTGCACCTCGGTGCTACATTGAAACCAGTCAGTCACTCAGTCCTGAACGATCTCTTTTTGACAATTGTTCTTCCACGTGTAAATTGGATTTAATTACTGGTTCTCTGGAAAGCTGTTGACAATTCTACTCATGCTTACAGTTAGCCTTCAACCTTTCATCATTTTACAAGTATTATCGGAAGACAAGTTCGGCTTTTCGTGACGACGTTCAATAATGCCTAGGTCAAAGAAAAGATGTGGCGATATATGGAGGCAGAGAAAAAAATGTACATAATAGTGATTTGCTTTATGTTTGTGATGCGTTGTCTAAGGTTACGTCTGAAAAAAATGGTGACCATGTGGTTTCGCGTAAAGAGAATAGATGCATTGATTAAGTTACTTTGATTTTAACCGCAGTGGTTTCATGGGAATTTAGTAGGCTATCCTTATTTTTTCAAGGTGATTACAGTTATGCCAAATAATTTCAGACTTCATGATGCTATGAACAGTTGATGTACTTGTTGAGATATTGCACTGGTGTCATTTCATGAGTAATGAAACACGGTGCTGTAAGTCCCTGCCCTTGAGGGAAGAATTTACTGGGGCAATGTGAATATTACATCAATGATTTAGGAGGCCATTCACCATCTCCAGAAGTGTATTCGGAACCATTAAGGCTGATGGCAGGCAGTTGAGAGATGGATGGTTTAATGACCACATATGCTAGGAAACGAAAAAGACGATTCTACAACACACTTGCTGGAAGCAGGCATCAAGTGAGGGACCTCATTATATCATATAACCGGGCTGTTCACTATCCGGGGAATGTCTAAGGGAACCTGATTACCAAGGAAGAGAAACAAATAAGACAATAGGTTGATCACTTTAAAGGACTTCTGAATCGACCAGCACCTTCGACTCGCCCAGAAATACACCACTACCAACAGCATGCACGGGACCTCCTGCTAATGGACACCAATCCTCCAACGAAGGCAGAAATCCTGAATGCGATCAAGCTACAGAAAGGAGGGCGACTTACGCCTCACTCTGCAACAACTGGATTTTTTTTCCTTCACGTTCCTCAGTGGAACATAGGGCTTCCCGCTAGTGGCTTGAAGTTTCTCTAGCAGTGTTTATTTTACAGGATGGGGTTGCTAGCCTCATGCCCAACCTTCCCTCTTTACCAGCACTATTTCTGGCTTAGCGAGGTAAAGGAATGCGCCGGTCGGGATCGAACCCCAGACCATGTGCATGGTCGGCAAACATCCTAACCGCTATGCCACCAACGCAACAACTGGATAGTGTGGAGTAATGCTCTTGTCTACGACAAGTAAAATACTGAGTCGTATCACCCTGGAGAGAATCAAAGATGCACTTGATGCAGAACCCCACCAGAACCATCACCCGGAACAAGCTGGATTCAGGAAGGCAAATCATGTGCTGATCAAATTGCAACTCCACGCATAGTCATCATTACACAACAAAGCATAGAATGGCACTCAAATCTGTACCTTAACTGCATCGACTTCGAAAAGACCTTCGACAAACAGTGTTAACTAAAAAGTGATTTGGAAACTACTTCAACACTACGGCGTGGAGTGCCGTGGTCTTTATCAGTCTCACTCAACTTCAGCTATATGACAATGTCACGTGTAAGGCGGTCCACATATGGAAAACTCAGAGAGGCGTTCCAAGCAAATACACGTGTAAGACAAGACTACCGATTATCACCGATGATATTCTTCATCGTTGTAGACTTGATTATACGCCAGACTGTGAGTGGGGAGCGAGGAGAGAGGAATACGCTGGACCACCGATAAGAAGACTCCAGAAGATTTGAATTTCATGCCTGGATGATATATGTCTAATGTCACATAAATTCGAAAAATTAAAGACGAAAACCAACAAACTCCCTGAAGAGAGTGGCATCGAAAACAGGACTCTATTCAGGTGAACATGGAGAAGACATGGTGATGAAGATAACCCACCAACTAAAGGCAACATCAAAAATAACGAGCACCAATCACTTATTCCATATGGGTCACAAACTTGACCAGTGTGTCACAACAAGAATTTCCAATAGGCTACTAAAGACTTTTATGAACAGGTGCCACCTTCGCTGACTGGCTGGATGGTTAGCTCCATACTGAAGAACAAATGGCTAGCCAGACAGAAAGAACCAATAACAAGAAAATGTGTAGTGGAACAAACCAACCGATTAAGAGCCGATCGCTCAACAAATATGTAGGAGAAAATGGATTGGAGATGGATTCATCGGAGGAGGCCATCGAATGACATTGTGTGCCAAGGGGATCCAAATGGGAAGCGACGGATGAGTGGGTCGTCCATTCGAGGGTGACATGGAAAAGATCGTGTGGCGAGGAGGAGATGACAGAATATAGGCAACTGTGAAGATAGTCAGCTGAATACGATGGTAGCAGATAGAGGAAAGAGGAGACATGGTGTTGTTGAAGCCAGTCCTATGGTGTTCCACTCGAAACCCAAAGGATCACTAATAGTAGTAATAATAATAATAGTGATAATAATGGGATAAAATAAATTCACTTAAAATAACCGAACAAAACTTTTTTAAGAAAACCAACAACAACCACAAAACACTTACAGTGTTATCTGCAGCATAAAACTTCTGAATTTTTATGGCTGAGTTGAGCAAGACCCTAAAATTTATGTTGAAAAAAAATAACGAAAAAATAATTCCTCTGGTCATTTTAACGCGTTAAAAAGAAGTTTAAAAAACAACATTACTACTTCTTGACCTAGAATTTCAACTACCTACACAACTAGGCGATATCTTGCCAGGAAAAATGAAGAGTATTGTCTCACCCTAATTTCACGTTGAGTTTTAATCTAAATTGACTGATGTATGGTGGTTGTGTGTTTTGTTAAACGATTTTTCATCGACAATCGATGTGTAGTTTATGTTGGGGAAAGAGGCATCATTGATGACAGACAGTAAAACAAATGCCATCAATATGTACCTGCACAACCTGAGAACATCAGTGTGAGTTTAGATGTCGCTCACAATTGGTTAGAAAAAAATAATCAACATGCTGATATCTCATCGAACAATGTGCTGCTAACAATATGATATGTGCTCTGGCGCCGTCTAAGTGCAAAATAATACTGTTACAAGATTTGCAGGAGTCTGCACTCACTCACCTCTACTCACTCTTGCTGCATAGTGAACCGCTTGAAGTTGTTGATAAGTCTGTGTATCTGGGTAGGTGTGTGAATGCTGGCGGAGGTGAGGTGTGGCGGATGAGATTTGCAACCGTATCATGAAAGCTAGGGTGACATACGTTAACCTGAGCCATCTCTGAGCACCACCGTCGCGACGTTGGCCTGACTATCAAAGGTCGCGTATACAATGCTGCGGTGTGGGCTGTCTTGCTCTACGCCTGTGAAACCTAGCCTCTCCGAGCTGAAGATATGCAGCGGCTCAGAGTATTCGATCACTGATGTCTCCGTAGAATTGCTTGCATTCGAGGGCAATATCATCGTGTAAGTAATTCTGTGTGTTTGAACATAGTGGAGATCACTATTCGTTGAATGTCATCAGTGGCTGAGACATGTGCTGCAAATGTCATCCCAGAGGCTTCCGTATAGGTCTCTGTTTGTTAACTAGCCAGTAGTAGGACAGGATGGGAAAAGAGGAGAGGTGGTTAGCCTTTGATGTGGCGTCGTTGGATGAAGGATATTTGTGTTAGGTTAGCATTGGTTGGTGCATCATGACTCCCTGGTTGGAGTCCAAAAGATATATCGCTCGAATTGCTACCGGGTATGACGAAGAATCGTAATCAGCGAATGTCGTGCTGCACTTTCCCCACGATAACTGACGAACGCTGTTTAAACTTCTTAGACTAAGACTGTTTTCCTTCCGTATGAAGTTCTTTATCTATTTTTCACCTGTATGTTTTTAACTTTTAATCTCATATGTTGTTTTATTATTATGATTGTGTCTGTCTGTCTGGATTCAACATAGAACTTGGCACCCAAGTGCAGAAGTTCGAGTTGCCACCTTCCAAATAGCACACAGAAGTAGACAAGAAGATGAGTGAAGAGAATCAATACAGTCTGACAAGTATAAGAGTGAAACAGAATGGGTAATGGTAGAAAGGAATATGAAAGATTATAGAGACTGAATACATGTGCGCTGGCCATTGACAACGATTTTGAGCCATGTCACCTATTGTCTCCAACCATTGATTCCTAGAGTCCCGAGGGCCCCAACCCGGAAGTCTGCATCTCCCTCCCTACCTTACTCAGTTTAACTGTCAAGGATTTCATGGATTGATGATATGTTTTTGTTTGGCCACCACTTACCCTTTTCCAACCTGCACCTATATCAGCTAGTAATGCCCGTCGGGGGAGGCGATGGTTAGTCATGCGCAGCACGTGACCTAGCCATCTCAATCTGTGTAACTTTATAGCCTCGTCGATTGATTTTCCCTCTTTGCCTGCCCAACCTTCTAAGCCTAACGTCAACATTACTTACCTTGTTAAACCACCTAACGTGAGACAGGGATCGCAGACATCTATGATCGAAAGCAGTCAACCTTTTCATGTCTTCAACTCGTATTGGCCATGTTTCAGAGCCATAGAGAAGGACGGAGCGAAATGATGAGCAGTACACACGTCCTTTGGTTGATAGCCAGATGTCACTTATGAATGTGTGGTGCATCTTCTCTGTGCTATACTGCACCAAGAGTTTTTTATGTTTAAATAAATAATAAATATCACCGAAAATATCCATTGAGTCATGAAGAAAATAAAAGACAAATTCAGCGAACAAAATTTTCTTTATCGATGAAATCATATTCAGAGGCTGGCTGTACAGTCGTATTTATATTTACCGAAAATGTGTAGCAGTCTATTATTCTCACTCAATAGCAATTTTAACCTTATCAAATATACAACTTTGTGTTGTTGAGTACCACGTAATTTACAACTTTTACTTCTAAAGCCACTTCTGAGCCCCAGTGAGTGGCTGAATGGTATACAAGCCAGCTTGCCTTGTGACCAGAAGGTCCTGGGTTATAACCCTGGCAGTGGGGTGGTTTCGTACTGCCGATGATTCCCAAAAACCAAGACAACAGAAACAGCTGTCTCGCAGTACTCCCCCAGCTGGTTTTCGATGCTTCTCTAACCGATATCAATCCGTCATCAGACTCATACAAACCACCTCTTGAAAATAATAAGTACGTTAAATGAGACATCGTCTCACATACGTTCACTTCTCTCTTTGTATTATCTTAAAACTATGACCACCTGAACTTATAAGCTTCAGGATTCGATTCAACATCCATCCCTCACTCTTTTTCAGATTGTATAATGAATGTGGTATCAGACTAAAGCAAAATCCGAATCTCAAGAATGCCATTGAATCACCACCACCATCTTCTATAAGCACTTGTGGATGTGTATCGGACAAGACATGTTAGTCTACTCTGAGTCAAAATGAACTATTCCCCCTCTCCCAGAAGCTAGTGAATTTCATCAGCCGTCTTCTACACATTCACAATCATTGATATGGAATATGCATGTTATCATTACAAGGCAATAGAAATTCATCGTCGATTCGTTGATCAAGCAGTATTATAAATCAGTAACCGACTGTTACTTAGAAGAGCTTTATGAAATAGTGTTGTTGGCTCTCCCCCCCTGCATTACCACATAAACCGTCTGGTACGGCCGAGGATGAGTAGACTTCCGTCCTCCTCTCCAGTTACTGTCATGTCGCCACTAGTTCATAGCCTCTGCCATGTACGTTGTCTTAATGACTGTTTTCACGTGGATAGAGTGCTCCACATGAAAGTATAAGGGTGAATTTTGACGTCTGGCGCTTACAACCGAACTGATTTACTGTACCTAGGGGAGCCGGAAAACACTGATTCCAAACCTATGTTGAACATGGGATCCAGTTCCCTAAAAAGATCGGATGGCATATACAGACTTTTTTTAATCACAGGCAATCACGAGAATGTAACTTCTGAAGTTGCTCCACTCCCTTACGGATCAAACTTTAAAGTAAAGGCTCTATGTGTCGCCCAATAAGACAAATACATGCCAGGGGTCGCGCTATGTCGTGAATTGGCAGAAGTTAGAATTCATGGGCCATTGGATCGGGTCCTAGTGGCTTAATGGTATACGAGCTCGCCTTGTAACCAGAAGCCCTAGGTTCGAATCCCGGTGAGTGCGTGCTGATGAAGAGTCTCAAACTAGGACAAAACAGCTGTCCAGTACTCCCAGGTTTTCCAATGGTTCCCTAACTAATGTCAGCTCATGATGAAATCCTGTAAACCAATCAAATTCCTACAAACCAACACTTGAACAAATACATGCTTTGGTCTGAACGTCTGAGCAGTATACCAGCCATCATACATACTGAGATTTTTATGGGCTGTATTTCTTCATGCCCATTATTATTGTTCCCTTGGGTTCCTAGTAGAACATACGGTTAGCTTCAACAACATCATATCTTCACTTTGTTGTTTTCTGCCTTCCTCATCAGTTGCCTAGCCCTATGACTGCCCATAATCGCTCATCTCCTCTCCCTCCTCCTCTTCCTCACAACACGATCTCCTCCATGTCACCCTCGAATGGACGACCCACTCATCCGTCGCTTCCCATTTGGATCCCCTTGGCACACAATGTCATTCGATGGCCTCCTCCGATGAATCCATCTCCAATCCATTTTCTCCTACATATTTGTTGAGCGATCGGCTCTTAATCGGTTGGTTTGTTCCACTACACATTTTCTTGTTATTGATTCTTTCTGTCTGGCTAGCCATTTGTTCTTCAGTATGGAGCCAGCCATCCAGCCAGTCAGCGAAGTCTTTAGTAGCCTATTGGAAATTCTTGTTGTGACACACTGGTCAAGTTTGTGACCCATATAGAATAAGTGACTGATTGACTTCACTGATATTTGTGTTGAAAATGTGAATCTTGTTGTTTATGCTCCAGAGTTATTGCATAAGATTTCGAAACTGGTTTCAGGTTGATGAAGACGTTCGTATCTTGCTTGTCATTCCGATTGTGGCTGCCTGGCTGACTTTGACATCTTGTTCATACATGCCATCCACCTGTAGTAGTTGGAGCCTGTATAGGTGAAGGTGGGAAGTAACCTCTGTTAAATCTCTCCCACAGATGGTGATTGGTGCTGATTGTTGTTGCTGTATATAATAATAATAATAAATTCTTCGTGTCCATAGTGTAACAAGTTTGTATTTTGGTAAACATAAGTAGTCTTCAGCGCCTAATGTTTTACCACGAAGAATGGAAACAGAACATAATAGGTTTATTTTTGATTGGACACTAATTAGTAACTAGTGTTGTAATGTGTCTAGTCTTATCTCTTTGGTGCAGACTGAATTCTATCATTCAGTCAGACAAATTTGCAATGTGACCAGCATTCTAGGAAGCTCACCATCACGGTACACTTAGAATTGTTGATATTAGATGGTTGAAGGCAATCGGCCACAGGAACCCTTGCTCGATCTAACGAGCCAAATTGCTCTTCAGGGGTAAAGCCTCTGACTCACTGAAGTACTCACTGGATGGTGAAAAGAGGGTTCGAATCTCATAAAAAGATATGGTTGCAGATACACGCCTTGCTGACTGACTAGTGAATGCCAACTAGTACGAAACGGAGGTCACGCAGGTTCCCTGTGACCGACTCCCTCCAACCATCTAATAGGTGAATGTTAATTTTTAATGTGTGAAGAATTTTACTCCAATATAACATGACTGGAAATAAAGATAAAAACAAAACACATAGTTCGACGAAAAGTCTCTTATCAGCGAATTCACTCACTTAGCTGTACAACCGATTGATAGAGATGCTTAAGACATGTGTTACGCATGCATGACTAGCCACCACTTTCCTTGATAATGAACAGTGTTACCTGAATGACACTGGTACGATAAAGTTGGGAAAGGGCTAGTGGTGGTCTAATCAAAACATCGCTCCATCAGCCAATGAAATCTACGACAGTTAGTTCAAGCCAGTGTTATGGAGTTGTCACCAACAATATGGTGGTACCGAGTGTAAATATGCGCTAATGAGATGAAACGAACGATAACGCACACACTGGTACTGTTTACGGGTTGATCTATCCTGACGCGAAGTGGTAAATCAGAAGACCACCACGTTCACGAAGATAAAACAACAAGGAAAATTAACTGTCACACAAGAGTATGAGTGGAGAAGTAAGAAAGAGTACGAAGAGTACAAAAGTGTGTTAACTGTACAATACAAGAGTATATAGAAAATAACTAACACATATGAACCAATACAACAGATAGTAGTTTTTCTCACCACCACTGAATTCTGATTGGTTGTAATGTCATGTGATAAAAGGTCATATATTGTTTATTTAATTAGTATACAATTGGTGGATGGTGGCTAGCAGTTGTATACTAATTAAATGCCCAGACATCGTCGAAGCATCTGCACAAGAAGCCGACATGTCAACCTGAGACCGAGCACTTCCGTCCAATCAATCGACGGGAAAATCAAAAATTCAATTCTATTGTTTATTTGGTTAATGGACAGACAAAATATATTGTATATATATATATATATATATATATATATATATATATATATATTGTACTGATTTCTGGTTCTACCTGATGAGATGCAAGGAGAGAGTTGGGAATAGAGGAGGTGTTGGGGGTCAGAGAGTATGGTTTTAGTCCATTTCTCGCATGTATTCAGATGCTTATCCACTAATGTAGTGATGAGCTGACTGAGTTTTACACCGCTAGTCCTACTAACTACCTTCAACATCCTTCTCAGGATGGTATAGTCCTTTTTCAGTAATCCAGGAAAGACTAACGGGGAGCAGTAAAGTAGAATAGGTAGGATACGAGAGTTGACAAATTGTGAAAGCAGAGGTTGAGGGACTCCAGTTAGTCTGAGTTTCTTAATGTAGTAGGTTAGACTTCAACACTATGGCGTGCCCTAAGTCTTTATCAACCACACTGTACAGTTATATGACGATGTCTCATGTCAAGTATTCTGCAACGCAAAACTCAGCTAGGAGTCTGAAGTGGGGAGAGGATAAAGACAAAACTGCCCACTATCACCCACGATGACTTTCCTAATTGTAGTGTACTGGATCATGAGGCAAGCCGTGGAAAGCGAGAAGACAGGAATACGTTCGACTGATAAGAAGACTAGAAGATCTGGATTTCACAAGTGGATGATTTATGTCCAGTGTCACACAGACTCGAAGACTTCCAGGCAAAAACGAACAAGTTGGTTAAAGAGGCTGGCTGAAAAGTCAGGACTTGAAGTGAACATACAGAAGACAGAGGTGATGAAGATAACCGTTCAACAACAAGAATCAATTACTGTCATGGAGGAAATTTGGAAAGAGTTACTTCCTTCACTCACCTAGGAAGCAAATTTTCGACTACAGGTGGGACGCATTTTTTTATTGGAAAGATATGACAAACCTTCACCACTCTGAATTCAGTTTGGAAATCGTCTGCACTCGGCATAAAGTACAGAATTTGGATTTTCAACACCATAGGCAAGTCAGTCAGTTCCTCTGAATGAGTGAGAAATTTGGCGTGTCATGAAAAGCATTTCCAACTGGTGGCTACTGCGGAGTTTGATAAACAGTTACCTTCACCTACCGACCGACCCCACGTTGAGAATGAAATGGCCAGAAAGAAGAAACTCTTGGAATGAACCAATCAAGAACCTGTTGCTCAAGAAAAACAAGCCGGTAGAAAATAGAGATGGACCGAACACACGCTAGAGATACCATTGATTGACATCGAGCTGCACACCGTCGATTGGAAACCAAATACATGAGGAGAAATTGGATGTCCAAGTGTGACATGGTGTAGATCAAGTGAGGAGGAGATGAAAGCTTATGGGCAGTAGTGGAGCCATCTGAAGTGAACTTCAGACAACAGGATTAGATGTAGGTATGCCGTTGATGAGGCCGTACATTCCACTCGGAACTAAACAGAATGGTAAATAATAATCGTTTGCAGCTAGTAGTCAATAGACTGCTTATTCCCATATCCGTTCTCAGCCTTCTTACAGAAATTTTTATAGAATTCCAGACCTACATGTTTATATGAAGTACGTGTAGAACTAGTTTTTGAAATAATTTCTATTTATCAAGGAGGTTGAACGACTCATCCATTAGGTATACTTTCCACGTAGGCTTGGTTGAAAATCAGTATGCAGTATGAGCCCGGCCGACAACTGTTACCTTGCCGTGGTGGTCGTGCTTGAATACTGCAGTGACCCAACAAGTTAAACTGGCTGGGACTCATTTCCCTGCAGGTCCTACCATGTCAGGAAGGTTGTTTGGATAGCGGTTAGACTAAAAGCAGTTACCATGGGGTACATGGGCTCCAGAATCCAATCGGATCAAATGGCGTATGAACCCATATGGGTCACCGGCAACCATGGGAATGCAGCTCCTGACGCTGCTCCACTGCCTTGTGGATTAGACTCCAAGTCAAAGGCTCGAGGAGGGTGGTCCCTTAAGAAAACCACCTGCTTAGGTCTGGGCGCCCGGACAGTATCTCAGCCCTCACGCAAGAAATGAAGTAAAACAACAAACTGTCATTGAAATTCATCGCGCTCTGGTAAAAATGATTTCAAGCAATAACGATCCCTCAAAAAACTTATGTCCTTCCAACCTTACTTTTATTTTTATACATAGATTCCTGTACTTTACCTTTGCTAACCTTGACTTCTTAACCTTCGACTGCCTTTCGCCTTTGTTTGGATTCCCAGACTATCTATGTCGTTTCCAGATGTTAGTGAGTAACCCCAATGTGACATCTAGCACAGATATCCTGAAACCGTGTGCCACGTTCAGGCTGGCCACCTGCAATGTTCGGAGGCTGATGCAAATCGGACAACAGACAAGGTTTGTAAGAACTTTGAAAAACCTCGCTATCGATGTCTGCCGCATTTCGGAGACCTGCATCCACGATTCCAGTGAAATGCTTTGACTATCCCTAGCATCTGGAAGTTCTATTAGTATGTACCACCTGCGCTTGTCCGGGGACCCTGTGGCGTCGGCATCCGGCGTAGCTGGTGTCGCACTGAGCGCTGGAGCTGAAGCTGCATTGCTCGACTGGATTCCCATTAACAGTCATTTATATGCTGTGAGGCAGGAAGGTTATACGAAAGTAAGAAGTAGTAGGCCAGATAGGCGGTGTCTATTTGTTGTCTCTACCTATGCACCGACGGATTGCAGCCCGGATGCAATGAAGGATGAGTTCTACCACCAACTTAGCGATCTCGTGAGACAGACGAGTCGGCCAACAGCAAAAACAACAACAGGCATCAATCACCATAAATGAGAGAAACCTGAAAGAAGCAACCTCCTTTACCTACCGACCGACCGACCGACCTGGGAAGCACCGTTTCAACTACAGACAGAAGGAACTGATGAGGATATAATCAAAGTGAGGATCGGGAAAATAAGGCAAGCTCTCATTCCTCTCATCAAGTCTGTGGGGAGATGAGCAGCACTCCTCAGCATGAAATATAAGATCCGGATTTTCAACTCCGATGAGAAGTCAGTGCCACTATATACTGATCAGAGAATTGGCGCGCCACTTCCAACAAACTACAGACCTTTGTCAACAGCTATCTTCGCACTGTACTTTGCTCGCTGAAGATCAGATGGCCGGCTAGTAAAGATCAGCAACACGGATCTCTGGCAATGAATAGACCAACCAGCCAACCCAACCCAGCAGGAACCAATTGTGTGCAACAAATATACAAGAAGAAATGGAGGTGGATTGGATTGTGGCCATACTCTGAGAAAACAAACCGTCAAGTGACTAGTGGCATCACACGACAGGCTCACTCTCTCTCTCTTTCTCTCGAGTGGAACCCGAATGGGAGGGAAGCGGAGAGTTAGTCGGTCGTCAGTGCACGTGGGTGACATGCAGGAGGAGGTGAAGTGAAGAGGAGAAGAAAGCATATGAGCAGACGTGGAGCGACGTGAGGAAACGTTGGCAAAGAACCCCGAACGCACGCAATGAAGACGTCCGGGGCTGAAGCCCTATTAATATAATAATAATCTGAGTGAATGAATTCGCTGAACTACGTGTTGTTGTTTTATTTGTTAATAATGTCTAGATAGGGAATTATATTCATAAAAAATAAAAGCAGGTTCATCATTTCAAAGTGACCGGAAAAAATTCGATTCATTTAAAAAAATAAATAAATTTAAAATGAAATTTAAATTACTTCAATTAACTCTTCAAGTCCAGTTCGATTGACTGGTGGCTTAGTGTAAATTGATGATGATGATAATAATAATGATTGACCATCTGAAGATAGTAGAAACTGATTATCATTATGAGAACAGGAATACGAAGACACATCTTTAAAGTCATATTTCTTCAGTGGTATAGTAGAAGAAAGACCATCTGTCTCAGGAACGGGTGTCTATAATTAGAAACAATTTGTCAAAACACAAAAAAAAGAGAAAACATTGTCAAAATGAATCACAGTGATGAATGATCTATAATTCTTTTTTTTAATATTTAGACAATCGGATTTTTCTTCCGATATTCCTTTACGTTCCCAGTGTGGAACGAACGAGCATAGCTCGTCTTCAAAAGCTGGAGACAGGCGTGAAGTTTCTGTGGCAGTGGTGGGGTTGCTAGCTAGCCTCATATCTCCCTCCAACCTTTCCCCTTTAACCAGTCTTATTAGTGTCTGTCTGTCTGTTTTCGACATAGAACTTTGCACAAATGTGCACCAGTTCAAGTCGCCACATTCCGTGTAGTACGCGAAGCAAGAGAAGAAAGTACAAGAAAAGCATAATAGAAACAGTGAGCAGAGGTGTGAGACAAAGGAGTAATAAAGAAATACAAAACAGTTTCATTGAAGATCATAAGTCACAGGGAGTGGATGCATCTGCGCCACTGAGAACGATTTTGAGCCATGTCACCAATTGTTTCCAACCATAGATTTTTACCGTCCCGAGGACCCCAGCCTGGAAGTCTACACCTTTCTACGTGGCTTAGCGAGCGAGGTTAAGGAGCGCGTCGGTGGTGGTCGGCCGGAGATCGAACCTCGTACCACATGGGGCGTGATTAGCGGAGAGCTCCCTACCCGCTGTGCTACCACCGACGCACCCAGACGCATGAGTCTATATTGAGACTTGTGAAGCGAATTATGTAGGAATTATTAGAAATCTAATTCTTTTGATTGTCTAGTTGTTACAGTTATTATTACTATTTCTGTCATCATTTCCATATCACATTTAGGCTGATCCACAAAAAGGCATTTCCCTGAGATTCCCACGATTCATTCGGATAAGAGAAGACAATAAGCCTGAAGACGCAACAACAGCCCGACAAGTATGCCTTTAATCAACTGACAAATAAAAATCATCTTTTCGTTCATTACTCAGTGTCAACCTAATATGCATAGCCACATAACATCAGCTGATTTTCGCCCTTCTCTTACACGACAGTCACTGTTACTGACTTGTGATGATTGCCGTCTAACTTGACTAGAATGTGCGCCAATCGACCGATCACTTGAAAATATCCTCATATACACTGACTAAGACAGATGAACACGAGAGTCACATTCAACTGTGACACTTTTTCTTTTCTTCTTTTATTTCTTTACGTTCCCCGTGTGGAACCAACAGAGGGCGCCTTCAAAAACTAGACAGGCTTGAAGTTTCAGTACTATTGGTGTTTCTTTTACGGGATGGAGTTACTGCTAGCTAGCCTCATGCCTCCAGTCTTCACTCTTCACCAGTCTTACTATCGGCTTAATGAGATTTAGGAGTGGTATCAGTGGCCGACTGGGGATCGAACCCCGAAACACACGCGATGTGGTTGGTGGCGAGCATTCCTACGGCCAAACCACCAACCAACGCACACGCACAATTCATTATGTGAAACAGGCTATACAAACTTCCTTCCTATGATTCCTAAGGCATTCATTCACGTTTAAACAGGACACACTGGTGGTCATTCAAGCTTGTGTTTAACTACAACCCTTAGAACCTTTGATTCCCTCAAACACACACATTCAAACAAAATCATAGATACATAGGTAATAGCAGATATATATATATATATATATATATATATATATATATATATATATTAACCCCTAAGAAGCATCTCTAAATCACGTGACGAAGGTCTACTACTCTACTCTATGGGATAGCTAGCTAGTTAGCAATCCTCTGACGCCTCAGAATGAATAATAAAGATATTATAATAATTTAATTATATATTTACAAACCTACCTCAATAAGTAGTCGTTTTAAGTGTAAAAGAATAATTTTTGTTGCCTGTACGTCTTGAAGCAGTTCTCGGTGTTCATTAGCTATATAGAAATAAGCAGGATTTCCTATATCAGGCGATACTGGTGCTACTGGATGATAAGGATTAATTGCCGACTCCAAGTTAACAGACTTAACAGATGTTCTATTGATGTGTTGTAATTGCCTACAATAAATAGACAAAGCAAACGAATAGAACACGAATCTCTTATCTGAAGACAATTTTATTATTGAGAATTTAAGGACACAAAACTATCCTATTAACTAAATTAGCGAAATGTTATTAGGTAACAGAAATCTGTTCGCCTAAACGATGAATAGGATTAACATGACACAAATACAATCAATACAATCGATAACAAGACAGAATGGCTATGCGTTCATCTTTAGGCCCCTTTTATTGGAAGATATTTTCCTCAAATCGCGAAATATACCCCCATTAATTCATAAGGAAAAACACAGTTGTTATTTTATTTTTTTTGGTTCAGCGAAGAAATACTATCTCTTTCCAACGACTTCATTTTCAGCCAGCTGTACAGCAGTTGTATATATATGCATTACGGAAAATGAAGGCATCGATCAGTGGCACTTGAAATTGCTCACTAATCAATATTGCACGTATGACGATGAGAATAAAAAAAACTAAAAATGATGTACTAAGGGGTGAAGAGGGGGCGCCGTAGAGTTGATTGAATTGGATGCATCAATAAACTTATATTAAAGATGACTACTAAATTAGTGAACTGGTAAACCGATGCTTTTATAATTGCAGATCAGGTATTTTCTAAGAAATTCAGAGTACGATGATGACGATAACGGTGATGAAAGGCAGCGAAGATGAAGTGAAGTGGAATAAATTGAAGTAGTGAAATAGAATGAAATAAAAGAACATTACTATGACCGAGGTGAAGAATGGGCTTTGACAAAACGTTTTTGAATACATAATTTAGGTTTTTGTCAATGTAAAGCTAGAGCTTCGGCTATGCATAAGTGGAGAAAACGTAAGCTTTCGCAGTGATTGGATTTGGTCATGTAGATGACTTTAAAGGATAAATCAGGTAGGTGTGTGTGTGGGTGGGGGGAGGCGGCTGAATGACGTGACCCAAGAAGGCGTTCACAGATTGAAGACTTTGTCGTCCTTTGCTCGCCTTTCATTAACTAAACCGAGGGCGGGAAGTGTTCACCTACGCATTTACGGAGATTACGCTTACAACGACCAATGTAATCAGCTCCACACGAGTATGTAAATGGGCATATGCACATAGAGGTGGACACACATAAGCTATAGTTTATCCTTGACGTATTGTCAAATAATTTTTCGGCTGGTAGATACTAAATATAAGTCAGCAGCATAAAAAGACAATGGAATACTTACTTTACTTTACTTCAGCTATCTCCTACGGAAGGATGAGCTGGCTCCATGAACATCTCGAATCATCGCTGACCAGGCGCGGCGATCTGATGCAAGGTTTTGCGACAGGGTTATCCAATTCTTGTTCCACATACGGAGTCCGTAGACGGTTTGTAGCCCCAGGCACTCCATATCAGCCTTGACTGTACCAAGCCACGTTTTCAGCTGTCCACCCCTGCGACATCGCCAAGATGGAAATGGCGAGGGATTTAGAACTGATTTGACCAGATCGTCATCTGGTCGGCGCAGAACATGGCCAAACCACCGAAGGCGATGTTGTTGGACCAGTACTGGAATTTGGTTGATGTTGTAGCAACGACGACGCACTTCTTCGTTGGAGAGTTTGTCCTGCCAACGAACATGCAGAATGTACCTGAGGCACCAATGGTCTACTACCTCGAGTCTGCGTAAATCTTCCGCGCGAAGAGGCCAGGTTTCACAGCCATACAGGAGAACGGATCGTATGGAGGCTTGGTAGACCCGAATTTTAGTCCTGAGACTGATTTCCCTCTTGCTCCATAGAACGCTCCTCAGCTGTAGAAACGCATTCCGGGCGTTGGAGATTCGCGCATTCACTTCGTTTTTCGCTTGACCGTTGGGGAGCATCATGGATCCCAGATACTTGAAGGATGGCACAATTTCAATAGGTGCTCCATTCAGGGATAGGATTTCCTCATTGCTGGTGGATGTGTTCGAAAACATTTTGGTTTTGGAAGTGTTAATTTCCAAACCGATAGTAGGCCCGAGGTGGTTTATCTGATCGAGCGCCTGTTGCATATCGGGGAAGTTTTCAGCTAATAACACGACGTCGTCGGCGAATTCGAGGTCGGTTATGTGAATATCGGGCGAAAGTTGGACGCCGTGGTGCTCGGTTAGGGCGTGCCGCAAAATCCAATCGAATGTGAAATTGAACAGGATGGGGGATGCTGGACAACCTTGCCGGACACCGCTGGTTACCTCAAAAGTGCGACTCTTCACCGTTCACTCGGACTCGAGCTTTGGTGTTGGAGTAGTATGACCTGAGCAGGTTGATTAGCTTGGTCGGAACTCCGTCGAGCTCCATTAGATACCAGAGTGCTTCTCGATCAACTGAGTCGAATGCCGCTCGGAAGTCGATGAAGCAAGCAACCGTCGGCTGTTGGAATTTGTCCCTGTGTTCCAGAATTCTTCGCAGTGTGAATAATTGATCAACACAGCCTCTTCCAGGTCGAAATCCGGCTTGATTTGGCCTTGTTCGCACGTGGCGTTCGGCAGCGAAGCGGTTCAGGAGAATGGAAACAAAAACCTTAGCAGCGATATCAATCAGACTTATGCCTCGGTAGTTCTCGCATAGTGACCTGTCTCCCTTTTTGTGGAACGGTAGCAGAACTGAGGTGCTCCAATCGGAAGGAATGGTTTCGGAATCCCAAATTGAGCAGAACAGCGAGTGCAGCGAATCGATTAGCGCTGGAGTGCAGGCCTTGTATATTTCTGGAGGTAGACCATCTTCGCCCGGAGCTTTTTTGTTTCTGAGAATTGAATACACATAGATAGACAAATTTTGAAAACCAAACTGATAAATGGTGTCATCAGCGGTACTGCGATTTGGCTAAGGACGGTTTCTTCCTTGATGTTTCTGTCGATAAACCCACCACTGCTTGTCACCACAGTTGTCAGATGACAATACTCCGTAATCTCTCACCTGGCTCACTGACTTCATGAGTTCGAGAAGAGTAAGTGCCTTGATCAGTGCAATGTATTTTCTCGTCATTCACTTCACAGTCAAACATCGCCATAGTACCTCTCGGTCGACAGAATCGACAGAATCCTCAGGTCAAGAAATATGACGACTGTAGAACGCCAATGGTAATTATGCTTATGTTCCGTTGCAGAATCTGTCGAAGGGTAAAGATATGACCTGGTGTATAGCTTACCTGCCTGGTAGTTCTGTCGTGTTTCTTCCTCCGAGCACCGCTTAATCTACGCATGATGATTATTGAACCCAGAGGTTTTGATACCATATTAGTCAGGCTAATCCCTCTGTGATTATCACAGGATGACTTATCTCCCTTCTTGTATATCGGGATAATGAATGACTTACATCAACCCGACGGGACTTCCTCTGATTCCCAGACGCTGCCTAATACCTTAGTTAACGCAGACAGTAAACTTTCTCCACCATCCTTAAACACCTTATTCCATCATATCCCACTGCTTTACCTCGCTTCAAACTAGTAACAGCTTTTGTAACCTCAGTTCAGTTAGGGAAGAAGGACCTGTGCCTATATCCGATTCAGGTAGGTAAGGGTTGCTAAGTAAGTTGAGCGTTGATATAAGAACTTAAGCGTGGCTGTAGGCTAATTAATTTGCTTCTTAAAGTGTTCATGATATGTAGTCCCATGATATCTGCATTGTTTTGCCAATCTGATACATTTCGCTATATGTCTATTGATCGTTGTTAGTCCATTATGACTCACAGTCCACCTATCTTGCCTATCCATTAACAAAATAAACAATGTATGACCTTTGTCACATGACATTGAAACCAATCAGAATTCAATTGGTGGTAAGAAAAACTACCTATCTGTCTTATTGGCTCATGTATGTTATTACGAGTTGATCACGGATGGTTATCAGTGAGAGAACCGTTGAAAACCAGTTGGGAGAGTACTGTCACACAGCTATTTCATCAGCCTAGTTTAGGAATCATCGGCAGTACACACCCACCACAGTGGGGTTCGGACCCAGGACCTTTCGGTTACAAGGCAAGCTAGCTCGTGACTTGCTACAGGACGGAGTTTCCTGGAGTGAGTTCTAGTGAGAAGTCGTGACCAGTGAGGTCCATCCAGCCGTCAAGTGTGAACATGGAGTTTACACGAAACACATTGGTTGGTGGCCAAGCTAAATCCCAAAGTGGTGGAAGTTAGAATTCATGCACTGGCTGGCCATTGAATCAGGCGGGTCCCGGTGAGTGGCTGAATGGTGCACGACCAAGCTCACCTTATAACAGGAATGCCCAGGGTTCGAACCGTGGCAGTGGGTGCGTACTGCCGATGATTTCCATACTAGTGTGGTGAGAGCAGGCTGCTAGCCAGATTGGTAGACATTAATTTACGTCAATGTTTATGTCCCAAATATTGGTCGTGAGAAAATATGAACAAAGACTGATTCAACAACCAACCACAGCAGACTTGACGTAGGCATAGACGGTTAACATATAGATGATATGACATTCAAGAGACAGTCACAAGGAGATGCAAGGTTAACCTTCTGTCAGAAACAACCAATCAGAAGACTGTGTTTGTTTGCTTGAATAAGCTATAATAATGTACATGAAAATATATAAATACGTGTTGATTTCCTTAATAAACGATCTGTTGCCTGACCTTTGTCTTCTGTTGTTACACCAGAATGAAACAGCTGCCCAGTACTCCCTGGTTTTCAATGATTCTCTAACTGATAATAATCCATGATCAACTCGTAAAAACAAATCTAATCCTTACAAACCAACTATTGAAAATCATGTTAGTTATTTTCTAATTACTCTTATGTTGTACAGTCAATTGACACCTTCCTACTTTTATACTCACACAGTTGTGTGACAAGTAATTTCCCTTGTTGGAAAATACATGTATCCATCGTGAACGTGTGGGTCTTCTAATTTTCATCTTCGGGTCAGGGCTATTTGACTACTAAGCAATATCACTCGTTACGTTATCGTCCGTCATGTCTCGTTAGTCATATTTATACTCGGTCATCCCATAACACTTCTTTCCAACGTCCCAGACTGTTCGATAATCCTAATATATATATATATATATATATATACACGCACAAAATAATGATATATAAATGAGATTGAATTCGTCGGCGAAAACAGACTCTTCGCTGAACTTTATTGCTCTAATATTATAAATATAATAAGGATTTAAAGAAAAGAATTTACCCTCAAAAAGAGATATCAAAATTTCCAAGAGTGTAACCGAGAGGTCCTGGGGTTTGAACCCTGGCAGTGAGTGGGATAGTTGCGTACTGTCTCGATGATTCCCAAATTAGGGGCTGATGAAATAGCTGTTTGGCAATACTCCCTCAGCTAGTAGTTTCGAATACCTGTCTAACTGAGTTATCAACCAATCAATCGATCCATGGTCAAACTCGTTAAAGGTAACAAAAAAATAAGCAATCTAAGGGAAAAATAAAAATCAATACAGTGTTGCACAACTTACCGTATGGAAGAAGAAATATTAGGACATGATGATTCAGGAACAACTTTTTCTTCTGAACATCTATTAATAACAACAGGAGCAGACTCTTTGGAGTACTGTATGGAGGATGCTGAGGAATACTGGTAAATATCTTTATTAAATGCATCACTGGAACTGGAACTCTCAATATTATTGCACTGGAAATTAGGTTTATTATCTGGTTTGCCGTCTAGTTGGTTTCCAATTTTCGCCAACTTGGCGTTTGAATCGACAGCAGGGTTAACAATTTTTTCTTGTTCATAATGTTCTAGTGGTCGTTGAACATCAACGGAATTTTTTAAACAGGATTTAGGCCTTGAAAAAGCATAATTTACAGAAGCACTAAAAATATCTGTGGAACGTTGTCTACAGGTTTTGTTGTAATTATATTCTGGTAAGCCGGTCGTCTTACCACCGGTTGTGATTTCATCAGACGCTGTATACTCCACCGTACCGCTCTGATCTACACCATGTTTGTTTGCTGAAGAGGTGGCAGTTGAAAACGAATAGCTTTCTAGGAGAAGTAAGTAAGTAAGTGGTAGAATTAAAAAAAAGAACATTTGTTCAAAAAAAGAAACACTGAGTGTTAACGTTTACCAGATAAGGAATTTTTTAAAATGAAAAATGGCAGTGTTAAACTACCATAGTTCAAACGATGTTAGTTGCCTATATAAGTGAAGGCGGGAAGAAACCTCTGTCAAATTTCTTCTATGACATTGAACTTTTCTTCGTTTGATATATAAGTAGTATATATGCATGTTGTAGTATTCTCCACATATTTCATCCTCATTATTGAATATCTATGTTGTTGATAAATATCGTTTCTAACTTTTGAGTTAAGTTACTCAATTAATGAGTGACGTTGTAGGTGATGAAGCCTTTTACATATTTTGACAAGAGGAAGGATTAACAGAACTGATAGTTAGTTCTCTTAAATTCTAATCATTGTGCATCGATACTTGGAGGTCAACTTTTGAAAGACCTTGACTTTAACTTCGCCGACAAAATAATTCCAAAGAAACTCAAACAGTTCTAGTTCTAAGTCATGATTTTTATTTTTATTTGAATTCCTTTATGTTCCCAGTGTGGAACCAACGAACATAGCGCATCTTCAAAAGCTAGAGAAAGGCGTGAAATTTCGGTAGAAGTGGTGTTTCATTCTAGCCTCATGCCCCTAACCTTCCCTCTTTAACCAGTCTGAATACTAATAGCTTAGCGCGAGGTAAAGGAGTGCGTCGGTGGTGGCCGGTAGGGGATCGAACCCCTAACCACATGGCACGTGGTTGGCTGCGAGCACTCTACCACTGTGCCACTGACGCATGATAGAGCATGCGGCTGTAGAACAATACGCGGACAAAGGCGTGCTTTTTTCAAAAATGACTCGTGTACACAAAGCTAAATTGTTATGGATTTGAATTTGCGTTTTCCCTCTTTGATAACAGTCAGCATTATACACTTGAAACATCCCTTATTAGATCTTAGATGTCATTACAATTTATTGAAATTAAGTCAATTTTTATTTTTCTTTCCGAATGTATAAACATAGTATTATTATTATTTCTTTTTGTTCCTAGAAGAAAATAAAGGGCTTCAGCCAAACGTCTCCACTGCGTTCGGGGTTCTTCATCAACGTTCTCTCACCTGACTACATATCTGCCCACATAATTTCATCTCCTCTTCGAATCACCTCTACTTCCTCCTTCTCCGCCTTCATGTCACCCTCGCGCACTGACGACTAACTAACTTACCGCTTCCTTCCCATTCGGATCTCACTCGACAGAGAGACATCCAGGTGTGTGATGTTATTCACTTGATAGCTTGTTTTCTCCCAGTATGGCCACAATACAACCCACCTCCATTTCTTCTAGCATATTTGTTGCACACATTTCGTTCATTGCCATCAAGGTAATCAGAAGAAATGAACAGCATGAAGCATTTTTTCGACCACCAAGAAATAAATCTGGTTGAACTAGAAAAGCTTGAAAATTCATCAGATGTAGGTCGCCATAGAATCAGGTCACAAAATTGGTTTTGACAATCGGTTGGAAGATTTCATCATGAGCTGACGTCGGTTGGTTAAAGAAGCATTGGAAAAGCCGGGAAGCACTGGATAACCGTTTCGTCCCAATGTGGGGCTCTTCATCAGTACGCACACACCGACGTTGGAACCTAGGACCTTCAGATTACAAGGTGAGCTCGCAGATCGTCACACCCGGATCCAATGGCCCATAAATTCTAACTTCTGTCCATTCATGATATAGCGGGACCGGGTTCTAACCTAGGCGGTGCGGTGGGTACGTACTGATGAAGAGCCAATCGGAGGCACCAGGATGGAGGAAACAGCTGTCTAGCAGTACTCTCTGTGGCAGATTTTTCAATGGTTCTCTAATCAACTGATGTCAGCTCATGATGAAATCCTCCAACCAATCAAACAAAACATCCCTACAACACCAGTACTTGAAAATTACTGTATAGAAGTTGGGATTTCGAAAATTCTGGTTAAATACTTTGATAAAGCTATTGGCAGCAGCATTAAGTAGCGAAACGTCAGGAAAAACGACAACAATACCGTTTTGTTTTTCATTCATTCACTGGTAAATACAAAAAAACTTTTAATAATAATAATGAATATATCGTATACCCAGTGCCCAAATGTTTTCAAACTGTTAAAAGTGAACTTGGTTTGCACATATATAGTTTTCATGCAGACTACACATGATGTCCCTTTATGTAATTTGATATTGGCGTGCTACAGAATCGATTACTATTGTTGCATCACAACGATAGATATAATTATACGTTTCTGCGATGATCTGGTGTTCTCAAATATACTACAGTATTTGTCGAGTGGAGGTCAACAGCACTCCGAATGGAAAAATAAGATCCGGATTTTCAAATCTGATATAAAGTCAGTGCTACTACACGGATAAGAGATTTGGCGCCGCGTCACGAAGGGCACTTCAAAAAAACCACAGACTTTCATCAACAGCTGTCTTCCCTAAATACTCAAGACCAGATGGCCGGCCAGAAAACATCGTCAACAAGGATCTCTGGGAGCGAATTAAGCAGGAACCGATTGTGCAACAATATGCAGGAAAAAATAGAACTGGATTCGACATACTCTGACGTCACACGCCAGGCTCTTTCTCAAATGGAACCCAAATGGGAAGCAGCGAGTTGGTCGTCAGTGCGAGGGTGACATGGAAGAGGTCATGTGAAGAGGAAATGAAAGCATGTGGGTAGGCGTGGAGCCAGGAGAAAAAACGTTGGCGGAGAACCCCGAACGCAATGGAGACGAGCGGCTGAAGCCCTATGTTCCTCTAGGAATTAAAGGAAACAATAATATATAAAAGCAATAATAATAATAATTGTCAATTGGAGATTATTATTTTCACTACCCGTTTTGAGTTCCGCATGGAAGATACGACTTCAAAAGCACCATCTCCATCTCACGCTGTTTTCTGCAGTTGTCTCTATCTGGATCCATGACTGCCTCTATACGATCAACTCATCGTTTCCTGAATTCACTTTCTAGTCAAGGTTTAGCGGCTGACATGAGATATCAATCAATCAATCAACGTTCTTCTAGCCTATGTCCAGTTTATCTCCACTTTTTACTGAGGATTTATTGGTTGGCTGCATTAACTTCTTGGTTAGTTCACTGCATACCAGAGTTCCCTTAGTTGATGGTTCCCATTTCTGATCATTTGATAATCAGAATAAAGTGAACTCAGCTGTTATAAAAAAGAAGTCTCGCATATCTCCCAAAGAAGTCAAAAAAACAACTAACAACGCTAAGGTTTCAATGTCATCAAATACATTTATACTTACTATCATTCCATAATTGATTATTAGGAAATATTGGTGCCTGCTGAGTTTTAACAAGTTTTTGACATTCTGAATTGTAGTCAGGAATTGTTCCATTTCCCCATTCTACCTTTTCATGGTGGAATGTTGTATTTGAAAGTGGAGGGCGTTTGAATCCAAAACAACCCACAGATCGATGTATTCTCTTCTTCATCTACCAAAGGGAAAACGGAAAAAAATAAATAAATGGAAATAAAAAGATTCTTTGAAAGTTACTCCATGGAAGAAAACACTATCCATTTTATTGGTTGAAAAAAAAACATCATGAGCACTGACATCGGTTGGTTAGAGAACCACTGAAAAGCCTGGGGTAGGGGAATAGTAGGTTGACGGTGTGTGAGGCAGTAACTCATCGAAGAAGACATTGTGACTGAAGTGGTCATGCTATGTCGAGCATCAATTGGAAGACGTTAGAATTTATGGACTGGCTGGCTGGCCATTGGATAGGGTCCCAGTGAGTGGGTGCTTAATGCTCTACGAGCTTGCTCGACTTATGACCAGAAGGTCCTGCGTTCGACCCCTGGCGGCGGGTACGTACTGCTGAAGAGCCAATCCCAAGCACTAAGACGGAAGAAACCACTGTTTGGCGTTACTCCGTTGGCGTGGGTCGGTAGGAGATTGTCGCTCCTTCTGGAACACGTGTGTAGATACCGACCATGCACTGGTCCGCGCTCGGGTGTGCTTACGACTGAACGGACGTAGGAAACAGCTGGCGGTAAAACCATCACGTCCCCAGCTCGATCAGGAAACTAAATCCGTATTTGAGGAAGAACTAGCTAAACACATATCTGTGTTCGACAGCTGTGCTCACCCTGAAGAAGCTTGGAAAAATATCCAGGCAGCCATAGATACAGCTGTAAAAGCTGTGAATAAGGTAAACCCAAAGGTGAGTAAAAACCACTGGATCTCCACCGCCTCATCCGAACTGATAGATGCTAGAAGACTTATTCCGGCGAGCTCCGAATTCAATGAGGAGCGAAAGCTGCACAAGAGGAAACTTACGAAAAGTCTCCGCAAGGACCGTGAACAGTGGTGGGCGACAAAAGCCAAAGAGATGGAGAAAGCTTCGAGGATAGGCAACACCAGGCAACTCTTTAGACTCATCAGGGAAACGGGTGGGAGAAGACAAATCATTAGTGAGACAATCTCGGAAAAAAATGGCACTATAATTAGCTCCCAGGATAGACGACTGGATCGTTGGAAAGAGCATTATGAGGAGCAGTTTAATTGGCCCACAGCCACGCTCAACCTTCCGAGCATCCAACACCTCCCTGAATGGGATATAGACACAGGTCCTCCGTCCCTAACTGAGGTTACTAAAGCTGTCACCAATCTGAAACTAGGCAAAGCAGCGGGACCTGATGGAATGACTCCAGAGGTATTTAAGTACGGTGGAGACAGCTTACTGTCCGGATTAACTGAGGTACTAGGCAGCGTCTGGGAATCAGAAGAAGTCCCATCGGGTTGGTGTAAGTCACTGATTATCCCCATATACAAGAAGGGAGACAAGTCTTCCTGTGATAATCACAGAGGGATTAGCTTGACTAATATAGTATCTAAAGTCTTAGGCTCAATAATCATGCGTAGACTGAGTGGTGCTCGGGAAGCACAAACACGAGAGAGCCAGGCAGGCTTTAGACCAGGAAGAGGGTGTATTGATCATATCTTCACCCTCCGACAGATTCTAGAACATAGGCATTCCTACCGGCGTCCAACAGTCATTATATTTCTTGACCTAAAGGCAGCATTCGACTCTGTCGATCGAGAAGTTCTCTGGAGATGCTTGGCTGTAAAGGGAATTCCGAGAAAATATATTGCACTGATTAAGGCACTCTACTCGTACTCATACAGCCAGGTGAGGGCTTACGGCGAGCTGTCATCTGAACTGATGACGACCAGTGGTGTCCGTCAAGGATGCCCATTATCTCCTTTTCTATTCAACTTCATCATAGATGTGTTAATGGACTTAACCCTAGGTGACTTCAGCGACTCAGGGATTGACTTGCTACCGGGGAATAATCTCGTTGACTTGGAATATGCAGACGATATAGTCCTTCTAGGCGAAGACGCTGACGAAATGCAGAGTCTTCTAAACACCTTGAGCCGCAATCTACGAATGTTTGGCATGCGATTCGCTCCCGCCAAATGCAAGATGATGTTACAGGACTGGACTACATCGACGCCTAGTTTAAAAATAGGAAGTGAAGTGGTAGAGCACGTTGACCGCTTCACTTATTTGGGAAGTACCATCAGCCCCAACGGGCTGATCTCTGACGAAATCTCAGCACGAATACAAGGGGCTCGTTTCGCATTTGCCAGTTTACGCCGACTCTGGCGTAGACGAGATGTTCGACTATCGACCAAAGGGCGGGTGTACTGCTCATCAGTCCGCTCCGTCCTCCTTTATGGTTGTGAGACCTGGCCACTGAGAGTGGAAGACATGAAAAGACTAGCTGTCTTTGATCATAGGTGCCTGCGTTCTATTTCCCGTGTAAAGTGGCATAATAAGGTGAGCAACATTGAGGTTAGGCGTAGAGTTCTAGGTAAACAGGGGAAATCAATCGACGAAGTCGTGAAGCTACAAAGACTGAGATGGTTAGGACATGTGTTACGTATGCCAAACCATCGCCTCCCTCGACGAGCAATGTTAGCGGATATAGGGTCAGGCTGGAAAAAAGCTAGCGGCGGTCAAACAAAAACTTGGCACCAGTCAATGAAATCCACAACAGTTGGTCTAAGCCACGTAGGAAGGTGTAGACTTCCAGGCTGGGGTCCTCGGGACGGTAAAAACAAATGGTTGGAAACAATTGGTGACATGGCTCAAAATCGTTCTCAGTGGCGCAGATGCATCCACTCCTTGTGACTTATGATCTCCAATGAAACTGTTTTGTTTTTATTTATTACTCCTTTGTCTCACACCTCTGCTCACTGTTTCTATTATGCTTTTCTTGTACTTTCTTCTCTTGCTTCGCGTGCTACACGGAGTGTGGCGACTTGAACTGGTGCACATTTGTGCAAAGTTCTACGTCGAAAACAGACAGATAGACAGTTACTCCGTCTGGCTGGTTTTCCAATGGTTCTCCAACCATCAACCGATGTCAGTACTCATGATGAAATCCTGTAACCAATCAAAGAAAACATCCCTACAAAACTAGTACTTGAAAATCAATGAGATGCTCACTACCGACTGGCCCTATTCAGGTAGGCAGTTACCTGGCGTTCTAGTGGGACGTTGTAACCAGTAAGATGCAGCAGGTCGGAGGTGAGGACAAACACTCGCAACGACGACATTGGTTAGCGGCGCGCTATGTCATGAATTGTAGCTTAGTGATAGGGAGTGAAGTGGTAGAACATGTTGACCACTTCACCTATTTGGGAAGTTGTAATAGCACCAACGGACTGATTGGCGACGAAATCTCAGCAAGGATCCAAAAAAGCTCGAGCTGCTTTCGCTGACTTACACCACCTCTGGCGTAGGCGTGACATTCGGCTATCAACCAAGGGACGTGTGTACTGCTCAGCAGTTCGCTCCGTCCTTCTCTATGGCTCTGAAACATGGCCAATACGTGTTGAAGACATGAAAAGGTTGACTGCTTTCGATCATAGATGTCTGAGATCCCTGTCTCACGTTAGGTGGTTTAACAAGGTAAGTAATGTTGACGTTAGGCTTAGAGTGTTGGGCAGGCAAAGAGGGAAAATCAGTCGACGAGGCTATAAAGTTACACAGATTGAGATGGCTAGGTCACGTGCTGCGCATGACTAACCATCGCCTCCCCCGACAACGGGCATTACTAGCTGATATAGGTGCAGGTTGGAAAAGGGTAAGTGGTGGCCAAACAAAAACATATCATCAATCCATGAAATCCTTGACAGTTAAACTGAGTAAGGTAGGGAGGGAGATGCAGACTTCCGGGTTGGGGCCCTCGGGACTCTAGGAATCAATGGTTGGAGACAATAGGTGACATGGCTCAAAATCGTTGTCAATGGCCAGCGCACATGTATTCAGTCTCTATAATCTTTCATATTCCTTTCTACCATTACCCATTCTGTTTCACTCTTATACTTGTCACACTGTATTGATTCTCTTCACTCATCTTCTTGTCTACTTCTGTGTGCTATTTGGAACGTGGCAACTCGAACTTCTGCACTTGGGTGCCAAGTTCTATGTTGAATCCAGACAGACAGACGGACACGTATGTTGTTTTGTTATACGTGATGAGTGCTCACTACTTCGGGTGGGACAGGAAAACGCGAAATATTAGTTATTATTTAAATGATAAATAAATAATGAAGAAATGCACTCAGCAATTTATTTATATATATATACATATATATATATATATATATATATATATATATATATATATATATATATGAAAAATATAAAATAGTAGAAAGCAGTTTGTATCTCACGGATTTATGCCATGAATGTGTAGAAGACGTTTGAGGAAGGTCGCGAGCATCTGGTATAGGAAATTGTTCATTTTGATTCAGAGTGGGTTGACATGTCTTGTCTGATACGCTTTCTCCACAGACACATCCACAAGTGCTTATGGAAGATGATATTGGTGGTGGTGGAGATTCAACTGCATTCTTGATATTCGGATTTTCTTTCGATCTGATCCCATATTTACCACACAATCTGTAGAATTCATTATGGGAGGTATTAGAAAGTCATTAGAAAAAAGACAGAGAGTCAGGGATGAGTGTTGAATCGAACCCTTGAGCATTCTTTTGTTTTATAGTGTTATCAAGTGGAGTGAATATGGGACGTATTATCGTGTTAAATGTTATTAAGGTCTTAACTGTTAGTTTGAACAGTGCAGTAGTATGTGTCGTAGACTACCTGGTTACGGTCCTCGAGACACTAAGAATGAATAGTAGCTGGATACAGCTACCTTCCCTCCATGATGAAGTTGAAATGGCCAGCCAACCAGGAGGAATTGGCAACAAGAGACGATCCGTGAACAAATATGTAGGAGAAATTGGAGATGGATTGATCTGGCATATATTGAACAAACCGTGGAATTACATCCCGTGCAATGCAGGCCATCACTCGAGTGGAATCCCAATGGAAGCGACGAAAGAATGGGTCATCGGTGCGAGAGTGACATGGAGGATATTGTGAGAGGAAGAAATGAGAGATGAGCAGTCATGGAGCCAGCTGAAGAGGACAGCAGAAGATAGGACAAGGTGTGGATGTGCTGTTGAATCCAGCCATATGTTCCCCTCGGAACTTAGGGGAATATTAATAGTAATTCTATATGAAATCATCCTTTCACCAACACATTCCTTTCTGTCATATTCTCTTAGGTACTTTTTGTCTCTACCTCTATGTTTGCTTCAAAAAATACAGCTGTTTTGTGAAAAATTGCAACGTTGAGAATACAGTTCAGTACAGTTATTGTAACTACGACCTTTATGTACTTTATTTCGTCCGTTTCTAATATGGATTCATTCTGATAGGAAATGTAAGATTTTCAGTTTTTATGAAATGAGAGTAACCATATGATAAGAACATTACTATAATATCCTAAATTACCCACTTATCAGTGCTATGACGTTTCCCGAATAGTTGTAGTAAATTTTTTACCAACTTACTTTGCGTATCGTAATCAGGACTAGTAGCGATGTCTTTCTGCGTTAGACAATTAGACTGAGACTGAAGATAATTACTAGGTTTGACTGAAGTCTGATTGGAGATTAAGGCCCCAGCCTCTTTCTGATGTAACTATATATAATATTTAACCTCAGTGAGAGAAATGACCGACTCAGTAAGCCCATTATCAAGCGAGGGATGATAAAATCTTGAGCTATTTTTCCATCAATTATATGCGTGTATAATTGTATCCACGTCGATGACTGCATTGTAGGCAAGACACCAGATAAAGTCGCTGCAGCTGAGACCAAACAACAGATTCCGATGATAAACGAGCTTACATGCATCTTTGTTTGAGGTAATTACCATTTTGCTTTTCGCATTAAACACCAGCTAACGAATATGGTAACACAAGAATTTTCACAAACCTCAGTAAGCCCGAAACTACACTCGGTATTTCATAAAAACAACCTGAAAAAACTTTATGAAAGGTCAGTCTTTCACAACAGACTTTCCGTTTCTACCCAAGTGCATCTAAAAGTGAGTTTAATAACAGAACAAATTTGGTACTGATTCGTGGTGTTCAGCGTGTATCTCAGGGAAGACAAGGCATTTAATTCAGAAGTCGCTCCCGTGTTAGGGAATTGCAACAGCTCTGTCTGTTACTACAGTGAAAAACCAAACATCAAATCCAAACACAATTGTAAATATCTACACTAAATAAACAGTGGAATCACTATCGTTTGCGAGACAGTCCAAAGTCAAAGAATAGCTGCCAGAAATAAATGTGTGGGCTACAACAGGCATCAAAGTTTCATTCCTAAATTAAAGTGACTAAAATATTTAATGAAATTTTTTCCTGATGATTCTTCGAAACCTGAACTGTTTAAACTGCTGTATCTAATACATGTATATATATATATCCTGGTTTTTAAAATAAACGTTCGACCGTCATTTTTAAACAGACCAGACTAACTTTACTTTGCAGAAAACAGACATAGTGCTTATGACCACTTCTATTAGAATAAAACCACACTTGCCTCATTCTGCCTACGCAGAAGCAGTTAGTTCGGACCTTCAAGGCCAAACGTCAATGTTCCGCACGTAGTTGAACCAATATCCCATTAAACAGTAAAACGAAAATCAATTCTTATACGATTTTCTTCGTCAATTAAGATCGTCCAAATCATTTCATTTTCTTCGATTTATCTTGACGGCCAAAAAATCTTTGCAACCCACTAGATAAACTTTATTTGTGCAATGGGACCCATTCATAATATGTTCAACCATTTCCTTGCATCATACTGTGCAGGAATATTTCAGTATCTGGAATTAGTTGATTGGCGTACATGAGAATATGAGCTACATTGCGTTGTCATCTAATACTATAGTAGTCAAATGTAAGTCGTCCCCATAATCTATCCGAAATATATATCTTGTATTCGCCAGATCCCGTCTATACATGTTAATCATTCGTCTACATTGTAGAAGTACAAATATATTGATTAATTTTTCTCTCATGTGCAGTTTTATCATCGACACGTGCTTCGGAATAATTTCTCAGTATTTGAGAACTTGCTTACTTCAGTGACTTCCATCATCGCTTATAAAACGACGCTCACAGTTAAAAGCTGTATTTATCATCAGGAGCTGCCATGTCTTAACACTTGACCGGTCCTCAGAAAACTTTTCATCGGTAATGACTTACTATTCATTTACAGAGAAATGATTAGTCTGTGAAATCAGTTTGACTTGAAAAACTTCATCTTAAATGATTAAACCCTTTGCCTATTTGTGCACATGCATTACGGCTAACATTTCCTTCACGGCTATCCTGACTTTAAGGATGTCAGTCAGACTTCTTGAAGGTTTTAGAGCTTACTTGCTTGTTGTCTTAAGTAGAAACTATGTTCATGTGTACTAACTGACTACCTATCCCATGCAGACCAAGATCTTAGTGGCACTAGAATGGCGTGATTGGGCCTTCAAAAGTCAGCACGGAGCTTCTCCTCTGGATAAACGGAAAAAATTTGCTTGTAGTGAAGCGACTTCGAACCCTGTAAGCGTAGACTGGTGACCGAAGAGGCTCATTAACTCTACCTCAAAATGATTTCTAGAACTGGAAGATACTATCGGTTTTAGCTTTATCCGTCTAGGCATGGAGTTTGATGACACCAAAGTACAATGTAGATGTTATATCATGTACACTTGTTATACCAAAATACTATATAATCACTTCAGCGGCTGGTCAAACAACCTGGATTATACCTAAAACATCACGGTTAAGAAAACCTGCTTCCCAGCCGTATTAACAGTATAAAAATTAAAACCTATCTTTCAATCACTACGGATTGAAGTATGGAAATTAGATGTAAATACCTCAAGAAGCACGGCTGTGTTCGGCAAATCTGACTCATTATGAAAAAGGTGCTGAATCTCTCGAAGAGATTGAAAAATTTTGGAAAGCATCATGAAGCCATGAACTTTGTGTTTAAGGAGGGATGGCTTAAAAAAACAGTTGACCAATTTAATAACGTCGCGGTTACATATTACATTCGGTTATTTCTTTGCAAGAATTCGAATGTATTGTTATGACTCAACTAATCAAGAGTACCGTCTGTACTTCAGAAAGGTTGAGGCCATCAGATGACATTCCGTGTTGCCACTTACATGAAAGCAATATAGAGATGGTAAATAAAAATTAGTCTGCAGGATAAAAATAAGTATGTAAAGGTACTAGCACTCAGCCCGCTAAAATTTCTAACATTATTTTGAAACAAATATATCTTTTTTCCACGTCTATTAAACGTGGACATCTCCATTGCAAGCATAAGGGAAAAAGCCGAGACACAAATCAACACCAGCGAAGAGGTCGGCGTTGAAAATCACTGGAACAACTTGAAAACGGTGTGGAGCCAAACCTGCATAGAAATTCTAGGCAGAAAAAAGAGACAGGACAAACAGTGGCTCACTACGGACACTTGGAAACTAATAGAAGAGAGAAGGACAGTGAAGCAAAAGATTATCCAGTGCACGGACGAGCAACAAAAACAGGAGCTGAATGCAAGCTACAATACACTGGACGAAAGAGTGAAGAAGAGTGCCAGGGAAGACAAAAGAAAATATTATGAAACCATGGCAAACGAAGCAGAACAAGCTGCAGGCAAAAAAGACCTCGCCACACTCTACCAAACAACTAGGAACCTTTCGGGCAAACGTTCGACACAGATTAAGCCAATAAAGGACGACAATGGAAAGTCAATCACCAAAGAGGTGGAACAGAGAAAGCACTGGGTTGAACACTTCAAAAGACTTCTAAATCGTCCGCCACCTACAACACGTCCAGCAATACCAACAACGGAAGCAGAACTACCAGTGAACACTGACCCCCCGACGAAATCAGAAGTCCTGAATGCAATCAAGATGCTTAAAGCTGGGAAAACACCGGGACCAGATGGAATCCCAGCAGAGGCTTTGAAAATAGACCCAGAGACAACAGCGGACTTGATGACACCACTACTGGAGAAGGTGTGGAAAGAGGGCAAAGTACCCGAGGATTGGAAGAACAGTTACTTATTCAAACTTCCAAAGAAAGGAGACTTAAGTCAATGTAAAAACTGGCGTGGAATTATGCTTCTGTCCATTCCAAGCAAGATACTAAGTCGCATCATCCTGGAGAGAATCAAACAAGCCCTAGATGAAAAACTTCGTCCGGAAAAGGCTGGATTCAGGAGAAACAAATCATGTATTGATCAAATCGCCACTCTACGGATCATCATTGAACAAAGCTTGGAATGGCAGTCACCTCTCTATCTCAACTTCATCGACTTTGAAAAGGCCTTCGACAGCGTCGATCGAGAGGTCATTTGGAAACTACTTCGCTACTACGGGGTCCCATCGACAATTATACACCTCATCCAACAGTTATACGACAATGCTGCATGCCAAGTAATCCACAACGGGAAACTTACGGAAGCCTTCGAAGTGAGGACGGGAGTGAGGCAAGGCTGTCTACTATCACCAATGATCTTCCTGATTGCAATTGATTGGATAATGCGACAGACAACGGCAACCAACGAGGGAACAGGCATAAAATGGACTGACACAAAAGACTTGGAGGATCTGGATTTCGCCGATGATATATGTCTGATTTCCCATAAACTGGAAGATATGCAAGTGAAAAGTAACAAGTTGGCAGAAGAAGCATCAAAGATAGGACTTCACGTGAACATAGATAAAACAGAGATAATGAAGATTCCTAGCCAACATCAACAACACCAACAGACCACAATAAGCATAAATGGGAAGAACCTGAAAGAAACAACCTCCTTCACCTACCTGGGAAGCATCGTCTCAACTACAGGCGGAACTGACGAGGACATCAAAGCCAGAATCGGAAAAGCAAGACAAGCTTTCATTACTCTCAAATCTGTGTGGAGGTCAACAGCAATCAGCATCAAAAATAAGATCCGGATTTTCAACTCCAATGTGAAGTCAGTGCTACTATACGGATCAGAGACTTGGCGAGTCATAAAGAGCATCTCAAACAAACTTCAAACCTTCATTAACAACTGTCTCCGCTCAATACTCAAGATCAGATGGCCAGAAAAGATCAGCAACAGGGATCTCTGGGAGCGAACCAATCAGGAACCGATTGTGAAACAAATAGGCAGAAAGAAATGGAGATGGATTGGCCATACGCTGAGGAAACCATCAAGTGACATCACTAGACAAGCCCTCGAGTGGAACCCGAAAGGGAGGCGGCGAGTTGGTCGTCCAAGGGTGACTTGGAGGAGGTCATGCGAGGAGGAGATGAAAGCATGTGGACAGACCTGGAGCGGGGTGAAGAAGTTGTCAGAAAACCGAAGGCAATGGAGGTGCGCAGCTGAAGCCCAATGTTCCTCTAGGAACTAAAGGATACAATAATAATAATAATAATTAAACGTGTTGTCCTGGACTAATCCTGAGTGCCTCATCTTGAGGCTGATATACATCTCCACATGATCTAACTCCTCTGGCGGATGATTATCTGATGTCAATCTGGAGCCAAACAATCCACTCCTTACGTTTCCCTGCTCGATATCGAGGGATTGATGCAAAATTGTGCTGAGCCCTTCTTCAGCCTGAGGCTGCTACTGTTATACCTCCCCAAAACCCACTGAATTCTGTTTTATTTTCAGGAGGAAAACGCTTTGAAGGTTATTTCTTGATCCTACTGTGAAGTTTAACAAGACACAGCAATCCCTAATCATTCCGTTCTTTCATCCACTATGTCCTATTCCTGAGCCCCTAAAAAGGCATTACATGCTCACCAAAGGCCATAAAAGGCAAGATAAGAAGCGAACTCTAAAAAGCCTTGTAAGTGAGATGATCTGCCGGAAGGAACTAACCCTAGCAACTTCTGAGGAGACAGTATCCGAGTGAGACATTTCGATAGCTTGCTTTCCCATCTTGCAGCCACTCTACATTTGCCTTCCCTACAAACCGTGTGAACAGGAACAACATCATGGATTTCTAAACGTACATGCGGGCACGACAGTTGTCTCGAGTCTAAAATGAGGCAAAGCCACAGGACTTGATAATAGTTTTCCGGAGCTGTAAAGGAACAGTGACGATGTTCTGCTGACTACACTTTTTAAAATACCAGTAAGCTAATAGAAATTCTTCAGTGCTGCTCCATAATTAAGTAGATAGGTGTACATCCCAACTCATAGGGTTAGAAACAGGTAATTAAATTGTCGCGGGGTGCTGACAAACGGCGGGCCTACTGTACACCCTAAGAGAAATATTAAACCTGTTCGCCATGCAAATCTTCCCCACCAACTGTCAGATGGTCCTGCAAACTACTTTTTCTGACTCTAAGTCCGAGAACAGATAGTGAAATAGGTCGAAGTGTTGATCACCTGACCTATTCGGGAGGCTACACCAGGCTAATTGGACTAGTTGCTGAATATATCTCGTAAAAGATCGGCCATAAAAGCCAACAGGAAATTAGAGGAAAGACTCGGGAAGGAAAGGCATCTGGAACAATCGAATGATGAATTT